CAACCAGCCTGGGATTACAGCGGCTCATAGAGACTGAATTGACCACTAGGGACCCTGCATGGGATTGACCTAAGTCCTCTACATATATGTTACAGTTGTGTAGCTTTGTGTTCTTTTGGGACTCCTAACAGTGTGAATAGGGGCTGTTTCTGATTCTGTTGCCTGTTTTGGGGACTCTTTGTGCCTACTGTGTTACTTCATCCAGCCTTAATAGGAGAGGAGGTGCCTAGTCTCACTGCAACTTGATATACCATGCCTGGATGATATCCATGGGAGGTCTGCTGTTTTTGAAGAGAAATAGAGGGAGGGGAGTGGATCAGGCAGGAGTAGGGGGTGGGGCTTGGAGGACAGGAAAAAAAAACTACATATGGCTAGTACCTAATGCAAGGATGATGTAGACTAGATCAAACACATCAAAAATGTAGGAAACTTAAGATAAATGCTCATTTAGTCATGGAGGTTTAACTCAGTAAATCCTCTCATGAATTTATCTAAACATAGTATATCCCATGTGCAGACAATTCACCAAAATTGGTACCCAAAATTAAATTTACTTACCACAAATACTAGAAACTATACATTTTACTTGGTTAAGTAAATTCAGTAGATCATATTATGCTCTTTTTCACATTTTTGGTTGTGAGCCTAGCCTTTAACGGCTGAGCCATCTCTCCAGTCCCTTTTTCACATTTTAAAAAATTAATTTCTTAGCTTATATACAAAATAATAGCTTCATTATGACATTTCCATATATATATATACATATATATATATATCACATATATATCTCACATATTCACCCATAAACACAGTGCCCCGTCCTTCACACTTTCCAATCTCACTGTTCCCTTTTCTTTCCTCAATATATCTACATTCTTCATATGAGAGAAATCAAATGCTATTTTATCTCTATCTCCCTCAATAACCTCCATTGCTGCCTTCTTCCCTTCCCTTTAGAATGCCTACCTGACTCATCGCCTTTCTACACACACACACACACACACACACACACACACACACACACAAAACACACATGTACATGCATGTACACACATATGAGAAACAGATATGAATAAAAACATGACTTTTTCCTGGTTTTATTTGCTTAACATGATGACTTCCAGTTCCATCCATTTTCATGCAAATAACATTTTTCTTTATTACTGAATACAATCCCATGAGGTGTGTGTGTGTGTGTGTGTGTGTATTATATGTGCAACATTACATTTTATTTATTCATTTGTCTGTTAATAAGCATCTAGGCTGGTCCTGTATATCAGATATTTTAGATAGTACAGTAATAAACATGCATGGCAAACATGGTGATGGTATTATTAAATTCCTTTGGGAATATACTCAGCAATGATATAGCTAGATTTTATGGAGGTTTTTCTTTTATATTTGTGATGAATATCCATACTGATTTCCACATTGTCTATACTAGCCTAACTCTTACCAAGGCTATGTAAGAGTTCTTACTTCCCTTATCCTTGACTGTGACTGTATGTGCTGGTGTTCTTTGCTTTATTTGATAACCATTCTGACTGAGAGGCAATGGAATCTCAAAGCAATTTTAATTTATATTTCCCTGGTAATTAGGGATACTGCATGTTTTCTCAAATATGCATTGACCATGTTTATTTCTTCTTTGGGACATGTATAACTGATTCATTTGTTTGTTTATTGATTGGATGACTTGGCTTTATGTTTAATTTTTAGAGCTAACTATAGATTTTAGATATTAATTCCTTCAGATGTTTATCTGGCAAAGATTTTTGAAAATCTTGTAAAATATCTCTACACTCTACTAATAGTTTCCTTTGCTACGCAGAAGCTTTTCAATGTCATCCAAACACACTGACTAATACAATAATTTTAAAATATCAGATTCAATATAATTCAAAATTTTTGATGAAATACATAAATACTGTTTTTTGTTCATCAAAGGTAAGTCAACAACAAGGAAATTGTGCAAACTTTTTAACAAGAAAATTATTTATGATTTCTATGGGAGTACTTCTTTTCCACAGGGCACTAACCATACTTCGCTGGCAACAGCTTCAACTTATACTTAGCACCTTACAAAAAAACATGTATAGTATATATACAGAAACATGAAAAATAGAAATTGAGACAAAAAGGGGACAATGATCACCTTTACTAATACCTACCCAAAGTTCATCCTATCCCTGATGACCAATGGCCATTGAACTAGTCACATTCCTACACATTTAGTCTTTATCTTTGGTTTTACTATAGGATGTAACACAAAAGTATGCCAGGGCACTTTCAGGCTTTAAAAGAACACACAAGCCATAAGTGGAAGAGTTCTCACAAGTTATTTTAGAGTAAAAACAGTATGCTAAAGTGCTTGAGTTGATAAGAGTGGAAACACAGAAGGAAAAACATCTTTCATAGTCACATTCCCAGGCAATGGATACTTGCATCAAGATGCTAGAGATGATAACACACCAATTGTGGTGGCTTGAATGAGAATGGCCCCCATAGGTCCTTCTGTTTGAATACATAGTCCCCAGTTGGTGGAGCTGTTTGTGAAGGATTAAGAGGTGTGGCCTTATTGGAGGAATGTGGGTTTTGATGTTCAAAAGTTTGGTGCCAGAATAAAGAAAGCATCCTCAACAAATGGTGCTGGCATAACTGGATGCTGACATGTAGAAAACTGCAGATAGATCCATGTCTATCACCATGCACAAAACTTAAGTCCAAATGGATGAAAGACCTCAACATAAATCCAGCCACACTGAACCTCTTAAAAGAGAAAGTGGGAAATACCATGAATTAGTACAGGAGACAGCTTCCTGAACATTACACCAGTATCACAGGCACAGACACAGAAAGCAATCATCAATCAATGGGACCTCCTGAAACTGAAAAGCTTCTGTAAGGCAAAGGACACTGTCAGTAAGACAAAATGACAGCCTACAGAATGGGAAAAGGTCTTCACCAATCTTACATCTGACAGACCGCTGATCTCCAAAATTTATTAAGAAACTAGACACAAAAAATACAAAATAGCCCAATTAAAAATGGGGTGCAGAGAATTCTCACCAGAATAATCTCAAATGGCTGAAAGACACATAAGAAAGTGTTTAACATCCTTAGCCATCAGGGATGTGCAAATCAAAACAACTCTGAGATACCATCTCACACCTGTCAGAATGGCTAAAATCAAAAACATCAATGATAACTTATGCTGGATAGGATGTGGAGAAAGGGGAACACTCCTCCACTGCTGGTGGGAGTGCCAACTCATACAGCCACTTTGGAAATCAGTATGGCAATTCCTCAGGAAAATGGGAATCAGTCTACCACAAGATCCAGCAATTCCTCTCTTGGGCATATATACCCAAAAGATGCGCATTCATACAACAAAGACATCTGTTCAACGATGTTCATAGCAGCACTACTTGTAATAGCTAGAAACTGGAGGCATCCTAGATGCCCCTCAACTGAAGAATGGATAGAGAAAATGTGGTACATTTACACAATGGAGTACTACTCAGCAGAAAAAAAAAAAGGAATCAAAATTTGCAAGCAAATGGATTGAACTAGAAGAAACCATTCTGAGTGAGGTAACCCAGTCACAAAAAGACAAACATGTTTATGTACTCATTCATATATGGATTTTAGACATAGAGCAAAGGATTACCAGCCCACAATCCACACTGCCAGAGAAGCTAGGAAACAAGGAGAACTCTAAGAAAGACATACATGGTCCCCTGGAGAAGGGGAAAGGGACAAGATCTCTTGAGCAAATTGGGAGTATTGGGGGAGGGGAGAGGGAGCTAGGAGAATGAGAAAGGGAGAAGAGGAGGGGTGAGTTGGAAATGAGGGAGCAGGAAGGCTGAGTCAGGGGAAGAATAGAGGAAAGCAAGATAAAAGATACCATAATAGAGGCAGACATTATAGGTTTAAAGAGAAATCAGGCACTAGGGAAATGTCTGGAGATCTACAAAGATGACACCAACTAACAATCTAAGCAAGGAGAGAAGCTACTGTAAATGCCCTCTCTTGATAATGAGATTGATGACTAACTTAAATGCCATCCTATAGCCTTCATCCAGCAGCTGGTGGAAATAGAAGCAGACACCCACAGCTAAACACTGAACTGGAGTCCAGTTGCAGAGAAGGAGGAGTGATGAGCAAAGGGCCCAGACCAGGCTGGTGAAACCCACAGAAACAGCTGACCTGAACAAGGGGGAGCTCTTGGTCCCCAGACTGATAGCTGGGAAACCAGCATGAGACTGATCCAGACCCCATTAATGTGGGTGTTAGTGAGGAAGCCTCGGAAATCATGGGGCCTTCTGTAGTAGATCAGTACTTTTCCTTAGCATAGGAACGGACTTTGTTTGGGAGCCCACATAGAGGGATACTCCCTGAGCCAAGACACATGGGAGTGGGCCTAGACCCTATACCAAAGGATATGACAGACTCTGAAGACCCCCCTATGAAAGGCCTCACCCTCCCTGGGGAGCAGAAAAAGGTATGTGATAGGTAGGGTTTTAGTTGGGGGGGATAGAGGAGGAGGAGAGGGAGAGCAAACTGGGATTGAAATGTAAAACAATCTTGTTTCTAATTCAAATAGAAATGGAAAAAAAAGTTTGGTACCATGCCCAGTTAGCTCTCTCTGCTTTCTACTTTGGAATCAAAATATGAGCTTTCAGCTTTTCCTGATGCCATGACCTTTGCTGTGTCATCATGGACTCTAACCCTCTGAAACTATAAACCCAATTAAACACTTCTATAAGTTTTCTTAGTCAGAGATTTTGTCAGAGCAATGGGAAAGAAACTAAGATACACACACATCTTCTTTAGGTGAACAGGGATAAACATTATTAGTGCTTCCTTCTAAATTTAACGTTTGAAGAATCAAGTTGGCTTAATATCTAACTTCTCATAGTTTTAAATAAAGGACTGATTCATTAAATCACATTCTCAAAGTTTTACAATAGAATAAAAATAAGATAATATTTATATACCTCAAAATCATTGTTTCTTAAAACAAAAAGATAAATCTGTTTAGCATCCAAATGTCTGGGTAATTGAGTCAGTTCGTCTGGTTTGAATCCTGAGAAGTTGCAACCCTACGGAAAAAAAAAAAAAAACAGAAATATTGTTTAACAAAAATTATTTCTCTTCTTAGTATAGTGGTTCATATGACTTTAGAAGACATACAAATATTTAACTATTATTTAGCAAACATTGTTATGCTACTTTTTGTTGATATATTAAAAATTATTTATTTACTCTAGGAAAATTTCATATATTTTGTTTCTAAGAAATAAAAAATATTTGCATATTTGTGAGCTAAATTTAAAAAATAATATTTTAGAACATATTTTGGCATATACACAAAATATCAAATATTATAGATAGGCCATGCACAAAAAAGCAAGAACAGGTAGAGTTTTTTGGGTCACTTATGTAAAGTATCATAACATCTGCAAACAGTGAAAGTTTGACCTCTTCCTTTTTAATTTGTATCCCCTTGATCTCCTTTACTTGTCTTATTGCTCTAGCTAGAACTTCAAGTACAATATTGAAGAGATACGGAAAGAGTGCACAGTCTTGTCTTAGGACCTGATTTTAGAGGAATCGTGTTGAGTTCCTCTCCATTTAATTTGGTGTTGTCTGTTGGTTTACTGTATGTTGTTTTTATTATTTTCAGGTATGTTCCTGTTATTCCTGATCTCTCCAGGACCTTTATCATGAAGGGGTGTTGGATTTTTGTCAAAGGCTTTTTCAGCATCTAGTGAGATGATCATATGGTTTTCCTTTTACAGTTTGTTTCTATGGTGGATTACATTGATGGATTTACGTATGTTGAACCATCCTTGCATTCCTGGGATGAAGCCTACTTGATCCTGGTGGATGATTTTTCTAATGTGTTCTTGGATTCGATTTGCCAGTATTTTATTGAGTATTTTCACATCAATGTTCATGAGGGATATTGTTCTGTAGTTCTCTTTCTTAGTTGTGTCTTTGTGTGGCTTGGGTATCAAGGTAATTGTAGCCTCATAAAAAGAGTTTGGCAGTGCCCCTTCTGCTTCTATTGTGTGGAACAATTTGAAGAGTGTTGATATTATCTCTTGTTTGAATTTCTGGTAGAATTCTGCACTGAAGCCATCTGGCCCTGGGCTTTTTTTTGGTTGGGAGACTTTTGATGACTGTGAAGGGACCAGCTCCCCATTTCGACAGCCATAACAGCCTAACACGGGCTTGCCTGACCTTGCCTTGGTCACTAAGAGGTCAGATGCCTGCCTATTTTGGCAGCCATGACAGTTTAACACGTGTTTGCCTGACCTTGCCTTGGTCATTAGGAGGTCAGATGCCTGCCTCATGGCAAGGAACCAATCAGAAGTTAGCTGGTAGTGCTATGCTTTACGGCTCTGGGTGTGCTTTACGAACAAGTGCACAGCAATGAGGTGCAGAGCATCTTAATCACCCTGGGAGGGACTATGGGCCATAACAACCAGTTGACCAATCAACACAAGGCAAGCCTGGAGGCACACCAACCCTGAGCCTGTGCATCCCCCTAGACATCCCCCTAGACACTCCCCTTACACTCCCCTATAAGATCTCTATGCCGTGGCTTTGCGACGTCTTTTCCCTGCCATCCGCCATGGTGGATGTATGAAAGGTCCGAGCTAGCATGGGGATAGATCGTTAAACAACTGCAATAAAGCCTCTTGCTGTTTGCATCAAGTTTTTTACTACACCTGGTGATTGGGGTGGTCGAAGTCCTGGGCCGAAATCCTAGGGACCTGTGCCTCTAGGGGTCTTTCAACTGCTTCTATTTCATTAGGGGGTTATAGGGGGTTTAGGTTGCTTATCTGTTCTTGATTCAATTTTGTAAGTGCTATCTGTCTAGAAAATTGTCCATTTCCTTTAGATTTTCGATTTTTTAAAGTACAAGTTTTTAAAGTATGACCTGAAGATTTTCTGGATTTCTTCAGTGTCCGTTGTTATGTACTCCTTCTCATTTCTGATTTTGTTAGTTAGCATGTTCTCTGTGTGTCTTTTGGTTAGTTTGGATAGAAATTTGTCTATATTGTTGATTTGCTCAAAGAACCAACTTTGCTTCATTGATTCTTGTAACGTTTTCCTAGTTTCTACATTATTGATTTCAACCCTCAGTTTGATTATTTCCTGGCGTCTACTCCTCTGTGGTGAGTTTGATTCTTTTTGTCCAGAGCTTGCACTTGTGCTGTCAATTCTCTAGTGTGAATATTCTCCAGTTTCTTCATGTGGGCACTTAGTGCTATAAACTTTCCTCTTAGCACTGTGTTCAAAGTGTCCCATAAGTTTGGATGTGTTGCAGATGATATGATAGTTTACATAAGTGACCCAAAAAACTCTACAAGGTAACTCCCACAGCTGAGAAACACCTTCACCAAAGTGGCAGGATACAAAATTAACTAAAAAAAAATCAATAGCGCTACTATATACAAATGATAAGAGGGCTGAGAAAGAAATCAGAGAAACATCATCCTTTACAATAACCACAAACAACACAAAATATCTTGGGGCAAAACTAACCAAACAAGTGAAACACCTGTACAGTAAGAACTTTGAGTCTTTAAAGAAAGAAATTAAAGAAGATATCAGAAAATGGAAAGATCTTCCATGCTCTTGGATAGGTAGGATCAACATAGTAAAAATGGCAATCTTTCCAAAAGCAATCTACAGATTCAATGCAATCCCCATCAAAATATCTACATAATTCTTCACAGACCTTAAAAGAACAATACTCAACTTTATATGGAGAAACAAAAGACCCAGGATAGCCAAAACAACCCTGTACAATAAAGGAACTTCTGCAGGCATCACCATTCCTGAGTTCAAGTTCTATTATAGAGCTATAGTCCTGGAAGCAGCTTGGTATTGGCACAAAAATAGACAGGTAGACCAATGGAATCTAGTTGAAAACCCTGATATTAACCCACATACTTATGAACACCTGATTTTTGACAAAGAAGCTAAAGATATACAATGGAATAAAGAAAGCATCTTCAACAGATGGGGCTGGCATAACTGGGTACAGGCATGTAGAAAACTGCAGACAGATCCATTTCTGTCCCAATGCATAAAACTTAAGTCCAAATGGATGAAGGACCTCAACATAAATCCATCCACACTGACCATCTTAGAAGAGAATGTGGGAAATACCCTTGGATGAATTAGTACAGGAGACAGCTTCCTGAACCTGTAACACAGACACTGAAATCAACAATTAATAAATAGGACCTCCTGAAACTTAGAAACTTCTGTAAGGTAAAGGACACAGTCACCAAGACAAAACCGCAGCCTACAGATTGGGAAAAGATATTCACCAACCCAATATCTGACAGAGGGCTGATCTCCCAAATTTACAAGGAACTCAAGAAGCTAGTTTCCAAAACACCAAATAATTTAATTAAAAAGTGGTATACAGAACTAAATAGACAATTATCAATAGAGGAATCTAAAATGGCTGAAAGACACTTAAGCATGTTGTCACCATTCTTAGTCATCAGGGAAATGCAAATCAAAACAACTCTGAGAGACCATCTTTCTCCTGTCAGAATGGCTAAAATCAAAAACACCAATGATAACTTATGCTGGATAGGATGTGTACAAAGGGGAACACTCCTCCACTGCTGGTGGGAGTGTCAACTTGAACAGCCACTTTGGAAATCAGTATGGCGGTTCCTCAGGAAAATGGCAATCAGTCTACCACAACATCCAGCAATTCCACTCTTAGGCATATACCCAAAAGAAGCACATTCATACAACAAGGACATATGTTCAACTCTGTTCATAACAGCATTATTTGTAATAGCCAGAACCTGGAAGCATCCTTGATGCCCCTCAACTGAAGAACAGATACAGAAAATGTTGTACATTTACACAATGGAGTACTACTTTGCAGAAAAAAAAAAACAATGGAATCTTGAAATTTTCAGGCAAATGGATGGAACTAGAAGAAACCATCCTGTACGAGGTAACTCAGTCACAAAAAGACAAACATGGTATGCACTCACTCATAAATGGATTTTAGACATAAAGGATTACCAGCCTACAGTCCACACCACTAGAGAAGTTAGGCGATAAGGAGGACTCTAAGAGATACATACATGGTACCCCAGAAAAGGGGAAAGGGACAAGATCTCCTGAGCAAATTGGGAGCATGAGGGAGGGGAGAAGAAGCTAGAAGAATGAGAAGGGGAGAAGAGGGTGGTTGAGAAGGACATACAGTAGCAGGAAGTTTGTGTAGGGTAAGAATAGAGAGCAAAATAAGAAATACCATCAGAGATGGAGCCAATACAGGTTTAAAGAGAAATCAGGCACTAGAGAAATGTCTGGAGATCTACAAGGACGACCCCAACTAACCATCTAAGCAACAGAGGAGAGGCTACTTTAAATGCCCTACCCTGGTAATGAGATTGATGACTAACTTATATGCCATCCTAGAGCCTTCATTGTGCAGCTAGTGGAAGTAGAAGCAAACACCCACAGCTAAATACTGATTTGAACTGGAATCCAGTTGCAGAGAAGCATGAGTGATGAACAAAGGGGCCCAGACCAGGCTGGCAAAACCCACAGAAACAGCTGACCTGAATAAGGAGAGCTCTTGGCCCCCAGACTGATTACTAGGAAACCAGCATGGGATTGATCCAGACCTTATGAATGTGGGTGTCAGTATGTAGGCCTCAGAAATCTATGGGACCTTGTGTAGTAGATCAGTACTTACCCTAGTATAGGAATGGACTTTGGGAGCCCATTTCACATAGAGGGATACTCCAGCAGCTTAGACACACGGGGAGGGCCTAGGCCCTATACCAAAGGATATGACAGACTCTGAAGACCCTCTTTGGAAGGCCTTACCCTCCCTGGGGAGCAGAATGGGTATGGGATAGGTAGGGTGTTAGTGGGGGAGGCAGGGGAGGAGGGGAGGGAGAGGGAACTGGGATTGACATGTAAAACAATCTTGTTTCTAATTTAAATAAAAATGGGGGGGAAAGCAAGAATAGGGTAGAATAGAAAGTTTTCTAAGCCTGTTCTCAACACTTTCTTGGAGCACAAATTTATAGCTATACATACATCTATAGTATTATTAGCATTCTTTTGGCCCTACATAATATACCTGATATATAATCTGGCAGTATAGAAAATTGAAATACCTTTATATTCTTCTCTGTTATATATATATATATATATATATGCATTTATTTGGGCCCTAACACTGGATGTCAAAAAATCATTTCCTAGATCTTCAAGACAGAAATGTTGCTTAACAAAGACTAAAAGGACATTTTTAAAGTATTGTCAGTTCTTATTTGTAGGATGGCAGCATTTACATTTCCTATGAAAATACACTTTTGAGGGAGAGTAAACACAAGTATCATACCATTATTTTCCTCTGCCTACAGCGGTCCTTTAAGAATGCCCGGTACATTTCCAGATTTGTATATGCACCTTTAAGAAAAAGGAATTGACAACAATGAAAATAAAAACAAGAAAACTGTAGATAATTTATAAAAAATTATACATAAAACTACTCAATGAAATCAACTAAGATTTTGACAAGACAATACCCATAATAAATAATGGAACTATTTTTTATTTTCTGGTTCCTTTTATTTTTCCAAAACATCAAACCCCACCTAACATGTCTGTGGTACTTTATTAGTTAACATTTTATCTCAACTGATATCTAAGAAGTCACATATTTCAAATCATTTATTTATGTAGATTTGGCAGCTTCAAGATTACCTTAAATTCAATAAAATGCAGTACCATGGTGCATGGCGCAGTAAAAGACATGTGCACAGTAAGTTATATGATGTAAGACTTTAAACTACCTCTGATATTTATAGGAGGAAGGTATAAAAGGAGATTTTTCATATTTTTCTCTGATTACTCGTAGTTATTTTCTCTACAAAGATAATATACATGAAAGGTTCAGGCATTAATGCTGACCTGCCCATACCTCTTTGAGAGACAGCCCCCCCCCCCCAACAGGTGGGGCAAGCACAGTGGTCATTATGCAGTATGGACCTGCACCTGTGTAAGGACTGCAAAAGGTTGAGGTCCTCCTTTTAAGCTCACACCCTTACCCCTCCCTCCTCTCTCTTCTCTTCTTGTCTTTCCGGTTGGTCGACCACCCCTCTCTCCTCCCTCTCTGCTCTTGTCTCTTCTTGCTTCCTCTCCTCCCTCCTGTAATAAACTTTATGATTAATGCACCATTCATGGTTCATGTTCCATCATTCCAGCACTGGCCCCATCTCTCAGCTTCAACTTTCTAATTTTTAAACTTTTACAGAAGAACAACAATATGTAAATGCATAAAAGCTACATATATAGCTTATATATGCATATACGAAACACACATAAATACAAATATATATTAATTATATGCATACCGATTTCTACTACTTCTCCGTGGTTAACCACCCTCCTCCCTTCCCTCCTTACACCTTTGATAGGGCTCCTCTTATTGTTTTCCTTTGGCCCTTGGGCCTTTAATTGACTTGTGGCCTTTGTCAAGCAACAAGTGGACTCTTCCACTAAGCCTGTCCTGGTCCAGAACTAACCCACTTCCCCTCGGCCAGCTTCAGAGGTGCAGACCTGGATGGTACTACAAGGAGACTTCGTCTTCTGAGGAATATACCTGTGTGTAATGGGGTCAATGTCCTAAAGCTTCCCCACCCCCACAAAAGGCATCGGACGCTCCTGCCTTTCAGATGGCTCCAAGAAGCCATCCCTGAGGTCAGAGAAAAATGTCCTTTATAAAATCCACATAGATTCTCCAATTGGGGGCCAGGGCTCTATCCCCCTCTGCTGAAATATTTGGCCACTTCTTTTTATACAAGGAAGGGGGAATATGTTGGGAGCCAAATCTCTGGGCTTGGCATGAGATCCTAGGCCATGCTTGGCCGGCCACATAGTTGTATATTAACCTTTACACAGCAGCTCCTTAGAACCTCAGCTCAAGAAAACAAACAGCTTGACCCAGTCCTCCACCCACAGTCTCAGTCACCTAAGCAACCCCTTCCTGGACCTCTTACTCATAAACTCTTTACCCTGCCAAACATCCTCTTTGTGGCTTCCTAATATCCTGCCTATACCAACACCTGGTGCACAAACAACTCATTTTGCCCCTCCCCATATCCTGGCTATATAAGCTAGCCTGAGAAAGGTAAAGTTTGCCACTTGCTCAGCATCCTGTCTTGTGGTCCTTCTTTCTGTGTCTCTTGTCCCCATTCCCTATCCCTGACTCTCTTACTCCAGGTTGATGTCTTGCAGGTCGGGACACACCTCAAAGAGGATATGAATATACTCAAAGAAAACAAAACAAAAACAAAGAGATGAATGAAATGCAGAAGTCATTCCAAGACAAGAATATAGAATTAAATAAAGAGAGGGAATTGTCAAAGAAAACCCAAGTTGAAATGATGCTGGAAGTAAAAACTTAATAAGCCAAATAAAAATGTCAGTGGAAAGCCTCACTAGGAAAAGTCTAAACAGAGAAACACTGGAGTCAAATAACATGGTTAAATAAAGTGGACTTAACAGACATCCACAGAACATTTCAACCAAACAAAAGAGAATGCTCATGCTCCTCAGCATCCCATAAACTTTCTCCAAAACCGATCACAAAATAAGACATAAATCAAGTCAAAACAAATACAGGGGAGTTTAATAACATCCTGCATTAAGTGCAACAAAGCCAGGCATCAACGGCAATAGAACCCAGAGAAAGTACACAAACTCAAGGAAGCTACAGTACTACTGAATGGTAGTTAGACAAGGAAGACATAAGTAGGGGGTAAAATCCTAGATGTGAATGAAACTGAAAACACAGCATGCCAAAATCTATGGGACACAATGATGGAAGTCCTAAGAGGAAAGCTAATGCTAAATGGAGAAAAACCCAAAGCATTCCCATTAAAATCAGGAAAAAGGTGTTTCCACTCTCTGCTCAATATAATGCTTGAAGTGTTACCGGGAGCAATGCAGCCAGAGACAAACATAAATGGAGAGGGAGAGTGGGAGGGAGAGGGGGGGCGAGAGGGGGAGAGAAAGGGAGAGGGAGAGGGAGAGGGAGAGGGAGAGGGAGAGAGGAAGGGAGAGGGGGAGGGAGAGAGGAAGGGAGAGGGGGAGGGGGAGGGAGAGGAGGAGGGAGAGGGAGACAGGGAGACAGGGAGACAGGGAGAGAGGGAGAGAGAATATACTTAGGAATAAACCTATCCAAGGAAATGAAGGACCTCTACAACAAACCCTTTATGACACTGAAGACAGAACTCCAGCAGATGGGAACACCTCCTAGGCTCAAGGATCAGAATATTCACTATGTGGTCTCCTGCCAAAGCAACAGCAAAGTATAGACTGAATGCAACCACTAGCAAAATACCAAGTCCTCTCCTCACTGAAAAAGAAAAAAGTCTCCAAATTAGAGAACAAAATCTTTGCCTTAGGCACTAATATCAAGAACTTACAAGGTAAAAAGTTACCCTCCTCAAGCCCTGAAACATATCAAGAAACGAGCTAATTAAATGAACAGACAGAACTGTAAATGACCAACACATATTTTTAAAAGTGTTCAACATCCCTAGTCATCAAGGAAATACAAATTGAAAATACTTTTATATTCCACTCACCCAAATCAGAATGATGACCATCAAGAAATCTGACAATAAATGCTGGTGATGATGTGGAGAAAGGGGAACCCTGGTTCATTGCTGGAGGCAGTGTAAACCAGTGCAGCCATATAAAAATCAGTATGGAAATTTCTCAAAACATTACAAACACAGAACTACCACATGACTCAACTATACAACTGCTGATATATACTCAAAAGAGACATATGGCCATCCATGTTCACTGCTGCTTTTTTCATAACAACAAGGAGATGGAACAAGCCTCGATATCCATGAGATGAATGGAACCAGCCTAGATACCATCAAATGAATAGATAGTGAAAATGTTGCATATACACACAATACAGTTATATTCAGCTGTAAAGAAATAAAATTATGAAAACATTAGAAAGTGAAAAGAATTTGGAGTATATTAAGTGAAGTGACCCAAACTCAGATATGTACACTTTCATGTAATGTACATAATAGAGACACCCTGTAATGTACATATACATGTACAAATAGGTGTGGTCAGCTCTAAGAAAGCTGGAGAGGAAACAAGAAAGGGTAAAAACTAGTGCTGACAGGGTGAGGAGCAAGGAGACACAAATGACATTAAAGTATAAAGGGGACTTGGAAGGAGGCCACAATGGCATAGGGATGAGGGGCTGGAGAGGAGAAAAGGGGAAGTGGATCTACTAAAATACACTTTGCCTGAAATGCCATAATGATATCTAATACCTTGTATGCTCATTTTTAGAGAAAATGTGGTACATTTACACAATGGAGTACTACTCAGCGGAAAAAAAAAATGGAATCTTGAAATTTTCAGGAAAATGGATGGAACTAGAAGAAACAATCCTGGAGGAAGCTAAACCAGTCACACAAACACAAACATGGTCTGTACTCACTCATATGTGGATTTTAGACATAGAGTAAAGGAATACCAGCCTACAATCCACACTGCCAGAGAAGCTAGTAAACAAGGAGGACCCTAAGAGAAGGAGTCTGAGGGAGAAGGGGAAAGGGTCAAGATCCCCTGAGCAAATTGAGAGCACGGGAAGAGGGGGGAGGGAGCTAGGAGAATGAGGAGGGAAGAAGAGGAAGGATGCAGAAGTCATGAGGGAGCAGAAAGGTCGAGTCAGGGGAAGAACTGAAGAAAGGATATGTGATAGGTAGGGTTTTAGTTGGGGGGTTGGTAGGGGAGGAGGGGAAGGAGAAGGGAACTGATATTGTCATGTAAAACAATCTTGTTTCTAATTCATAAAAAAATCTGAAAAGAAAAAAGACGACAGCTGCTACTATTATTTAAAAATATTCTGGAAGTATTGATCAGTACAATTAGATAGGAAAAAGTTATACAAATGCCAAGGATAAAAATTATCATTGCTTGAGGATAAGAATTAATCTCAAAAATTAATTTCTTCTGCACTGAATACTAAATAAAGCTACAGGCTAACCTAAGCCACATGGATCAGCTCTCACTCCATTAATTTGGTTTCTACATTTACTATTGATAGAGGCTTAGTTCTTACAGCATCAAACATCCCAATCTTGTTTCCCAGAATCCCTGATGTTTTGCTACCTCTATTCCATTTTAACAGAGTTAATAACTGTCTTGGGCTCGTTCCAGTAATTATTACTTTCAAACCGCATACTCAGATCTACCTAAAAACATTTATTGGGTCCTACTGGATGATGAGATTTTTAAACATTTAGTTTTAAGATATTTAAATTTTGGAATTTCATTCTTTATGAGAATACACATAGAGGCAGCATATACAGACAGACAGACACACACACACACACACACACACACACACACACACACACACCAGACCATTACTTTATTCACATAAAAAATAGATCTTACTTTTCTTGGAAAACATTCTGTTACATTCAAATAAATTGGAGGACTGCTTTGTCAAAAGATATGAACATTCTCTTAAATTTGACTCTATGGTGCTGAAAGTTTCAAATATTCGAGGAACATTGGTCCATAGATAAGAATAAATCGAAGCAAATGAAGCATCCTCTTCTAGTTTTCTCCGAGCATCGTCCAATGATTCAGTATCTATAAAACAAATATCCCTCGGCCAATCATCCTGCACAAACACACATTTTACAACATTCTGAATCAATTTAAATCAGAGTTTAATGAATTAAAATTGAAATTTTACTCTAAAGCACTAAAGAATTATTAGTATTAAAAGTTTTAAAAATAAATTTCCAAATAATTAAAAACCTCACAAAAGGCTGGGTGGGGGTGGCACAAACCTTTAATCCCAGCACTTGGAGGCAGAGGCAGGTGGATCTTTGTTAGTTGGAAATCAGCCTGGACTACAAAGCAAGTTCCAGGACAGCTAAGGCTACACAGAGAAACCCTGTCTTGAAAAACCAAAACCAAAGCCAAAAACATGTTTTGGGGGATCATTTGAGCATAAGTTGCTGCTTTGATGGGCTATTATTTTTCAATACTTTAGTATTTCTGAAAAAAATGAAAGTATCTTCCTTATTTTAGCATTAGAGTACTAAATGCATTTTCCTATCTAAATTAGACCCCATTGAAATTTCATCAGTTGGTCAAGTGATGCCTTTTTTAGAAAAAAGAATAGAATTTAGAAACACAAATATTCAGAATTCAATTCTTTTAGTATTATTCCATTTTAGTTTAAAACAACCCCTCAATATTTGTCAGGAAAGAAAGAGAAAGAATTAGAAGGCACAATAACTGAGTTTTTTTCTTCTGTTTTTCAGCCTTACTGAAAATAAGCAAAATTATACATATTTATGATACATAACATGCTGTCTTAATATCTATATAAATTATGAGATGACTAGCTAAGTACAAAGCTAAGAACATACTCATTGTTTCACATAGGTTGCTTGTTTTTCTAAGGTGAGAAATTTAATGACTATTTTCTTGGCAATTCTAAAATATATATTAACTGGAGTCACTATACTGTTCACTAGATCTCCAGAATATATTCATATTATATAATAAAAACTTTTGGGGGTTTCAAGACAGGGTTTCTCTGTGGCTTTGGAGGCTGTCCTGGAACTAGCTCTTATAGACCAGGCTGATCTCGAACTCATAGAGATCCACCTGCCTCTGCCTCCCAAGTGCTGGGATCAAAGGCGTGTGCTGCCACCACCCGGCTATTAGAAACTTTTATATACTTCAGTACATTTGTATTCTTATTTTTACAAGTCCCTGGGAACCATTAGGCTCTTCTCTGCTACTGTGTTCCACTGTTTCAAATTCCTTGTGTGAGTAGAAAATGGAGTAATGGTCTTTCTGGGTACCATTTATTTCATTTAACATTTTTCTAGGTTAATACACATAATTGCATATGTTTTGCATGGTTTGTGGACGTCTAAAAATGTCATAAGGAATCATGCTATTAACTATCTACCTAAAAAACCCTACAGTAATGTGGGTAAACATGTATAGCTCAAATAAAATTTTCTCATTTGAGCTGATAAAGCTCTCTCCAAGAGTCAAAGACCATCTTTAAAAACCCCAACATTAGGCATGAGGAGCCATCTTTTGAGTTGTTGGCCAGGGCTGTTGAAGAGACTCTCAAAATATACAGCCTATTGCTGTTCTCCAGAGGGGAAATAAGTCCTTATTGCTGAAGACAGCATACATTTCAGAGGCATGACCCAACGGCCTCTGAGCTATAATTGACCTAAAAGCCTTCTCCCTGAGCAGTAGCTTTCATGGTATCAGAAGACACCATGCAGGCTTCCAAAAGAAGAAGATAACAAAAAGTCTTACCCAGCTATGATGCTATGAACCACCACAAAAACCAGCATGGCAAAATAACCCAAAGGGTTCAGTAGTGGCACACATAATTTGGTGGTATTCATCAGCTCTCTAATCCAATTTAAGATCTGCTTAACAAGAAAGACATCACACTTGGTACTGGAAACCTGGCTATCTACCCAGGGCTAGTAAAGCCATGGATCTCGGATGAAAACATACATCTTCCACCATTATTAAACCAGAATAGCCTCTAACTCCATTCTCCATGTTATTCCTTATACCAGCAAATAAGTGTACTCCTCACTCATCATCAAGGAAGCTTCTCTTTGCAACAGATAGAGACCATTACAGCCAATCAAATCACAGCCAATCAAAATACATAATTGTTGAGCCCATTCCCAATAAAGAGATCTTCAAAATGGCTCTGTCATCTAAAGCTCAGGGAAAAATGAAGACCAGCATATGGAAAGATTGCAAGAGCCAGAGGACATGGAGTTTGCAGTGAGATTGTGTCTCCTAAGAATGTCAAAAGCTACACCCACAGTCACACTAAACATGAGCCTAACAAGGACAATAGACATGCTTAAAGTGAACAGGGTAAAAGCTCATGATTCCTCAACCTTACGCAAAGAACTACAGACATCTAAAGAATGCATAGAGTGTAATAGTCTTCCCCAGGGAAGAGTATAGCAATCCGTTATCCAATACCAAATGGTCATCCCAGAAGACATACATACATGTAAAATGGTACAGATTAACAGATTATATTTAGGAATAAATACATGTACATAGCCTCTGCCCTTCTGCCTGCTGCCTGAGCCTGAGTTGAGTCCTAGGCGCTGCTCTGTCTTCAATCTCCTCCATAACCCCCCTGCTCGGTTCTTCCTGAGACTTCCCCTGGACAAGAGTGGACCTGCCCAGAACGGAAGGCCCATCCTGAGTCCAGACACACCTCAACCTTGTCCCGGCTCTGCCCTCTGCCCTCTGCCCTCCGCCTGAGTGAGTCTGGGCACTATTCTGTCCTCAACCTCCCCCATCACCTCCTGCTTGGTTCTTCCCTAGGCTCCCCTGGACAAGAGTGGACCTGCCCAGACCGGAATGTCCATTCTGAGTACAAACACACCTCAACCTTGTCCCCCCTCTGCCTGCTGCCTGAGCATAAGCCTGCTGCCTGAGCCTGAGCCCTCCGCCTGCTGCCTGAGAGAGGGAGAGACCCCACCTGCACCCACTGGAAGAAGAGATGGGAAGAAGACAGAATAAGAACACACTCAACAACAGAAAGACCAATATGACACCACCAGAATCTAGGGACTCTACTCCAGCAAGAACTGAAAATCCCAAAGAAGAGGATGAAGAAGAGATGGACCTTAAAAATTATCTTATGAATATGATAGAGACCATTAAAGAGGAAACAAGACAATCCCTTAAAGAAATCTAAGAAAAAACAAGCAAAAAATTACATGAAATGGAGAAAAAGACAAACCAAAAAAATCCAAGAAATAAAAAAATCTCTTAAATAATATAAAGAAAGCCAAGAAAAAACAACCAAACAAGTAAAGGAAACAATTCAAACAGTTCACGGTTTGAAAGCAGAA